CAATATTAGTTGAATTTCCTGAATCAATTCTATTTGAATTAAAGTAAATTTTTGTTTTCTTTGTTGAATATGAATCAGTATTTGGTATAAACATAAATTGAAAGATATACATTTTATGGTCTGTACTTGTATTTTTAAAAGTTTTTGATGAATCAGTTCCCCATGACATTAATGTTGATAAAGGAAATGTGTATGTATTATGTTTCAGATCTTTAATTCCAATTGTGTTAATTATATCCGATTGTGTAATTGTTGTATTTCTTGATATTTCAGTGTTAATATAAGATGTTAAAGAAGTCATTTTTAATAATGATTCTTCATTAGAATAAAGTGGTGAATATAATGTTTCATTAACAAGAGAAGATAAAGATATTAATTGAGATGTTAAATTATTAATTTCATTCATATTTGTTGTATTTAATGTTGATAATTGTGATACATCATCTCTAATATCATCAATATATATATTTGTTTCTTTCATTTTCTCTTTTATTTCATCAATTTCATTATTTGATAGAATATCTTTAACATTAATTGTTGTCATTCCATCTGATGATTTAATTGTATCAAGATAAAGTGTATTATTGTTAAAATATCTTGTTGTTAAAATATTATTTTTATTTAAATACTTTGAACCAGTTGAACTCATTCTAATACTCTAAATTAAGTTCTAAGATGAACCATTCATCCCAACCTATAAAATCTTTTAATTCTTCTTTCAAATCTTTACGATTAGCTATAGGAACTATTGGCTCTCCTTTATAATCTTTAAACCATATATCAAATTGAGTTAAATGTCTTCTTATTTCAAATCTTCTAGGTGTCATACTTCCATAAGTAGTAAAACATACCATTTGATCATTTTCAATAGAGTCATGATTAAAAGAAGCATGACAACTTATTCCAACATCCAATTGACCATTTAGATTAAAATAAATAAAATTTATTATTTCTATCACTTTAATGGGAGTTTCAGATGTTGTAAATTCCCATGGTAGTTTTACAGTGAATTTACCTGTCAAAAGGTCAACAGTTGTATTTTCATTTGTTAATGTTAAATAACGTTGTTTCATCTGACTTATATAAACTAAATATTATTAGTTTATGTCATCAACATCTAGAAATGAGAAATCAAATACAGAATTAATTAAAGAATTAAAGAAAACAAATGAAATATTACTTGCTGGAATAGAAACACGTGAACAACAATTAACTGAAAAAGATAGAAGAATTAAAGAATTGAGAGGATTAGAAAAAGAAAATGAGATATTAAAATTAAAGATTTCAAATGAAGAAGGATATAAACAGAAAATACACGAATTAAGCACTAAACAAGAAAATGATTCAAAAGAAATAATTCGTTTGAAAAAAAGAGTAAATGAATTAATTGATAAAATTAATGAA